TCCCTTAAGCAGGAATTCCAGAGGCCCCTCAGAGAGTCTAAAAATAAGCAAACAGGTCTCCAAGGCAGGTCTGTTTCCACAGGTCAACCCATGCCATTTCCCATTTCAAGATGAATTTCAAACCCAAAAATCTGAGCCTGGGGTGGGGCTTTTTCAGGGGCCCTGCTTCTCCCCTAAAAGCAAATGACTTCTCCCTCCTGCTGAGGGGGCATCTGGAGCCAGGCAGACCCCACCCTCTCCCTGTATTCACACAGGGTCCGGAGCACCCACAGGCATCTCTGGGTGTGCTCCACCCCAAAACCAGGCTGACCTGAATGCCTCAACCAGCCACAGGGACTCGCTCCCACCTCCCCAGGGACCCGAGGGAACGGCTTGGCGGAAGGGCACGGGCCCTTTCATGTCTGGGGCTCCAGGCTTGGCTCAGGCCTCGAGGCTTGTATCCTGCCTCAGCTTCCTTCCTGTGTCTGTGGAAGTGGCCTCTGTGCCTCATTCTGCCCCAGTGACAGCATGTGCCAGCTACAGCTGTCCTAGGGGGCTGTCACAGTCAGCAGGAGCTTCCCTCAAGGGTGGACTGAAGCCCGTCCTTCCCACCCCACCTTGGTGGCTCAGTCCACCTGAGCTGCCTGAGGGGTCAGGCGTAAATCTCAGGAGAAGGAAATGGGGGAAGGTAAAGCAGGACGCGGGCCCCGCCACATGCGGATTCCTCTCGGCACCTTCCCGAGTGCCACTGCCCACAGCAGGTGGGGCTGGGGCTCTGGCCTACAAAACGCGATGTGCGTCCTCTGCTCAGCCTACCCGCGCATCCTCTGCTCAGCCTGCCCGCGCATCCTCTGCTCAGCCTGCCCGCGCGTCCTCTGGTTACCCTGCCCGCGCATCCTCTGATTATCCTGCCCGCGCATCCTCTGATTATCCTGCCCGCGCATCCTCTGCTCAGCCTGCCCGCGCGTCCTCTGATTATCCTGCCCGCGCGTCCTCTGATTATCCTGCCCGCACGTCCTCTGATTATCCTGCCCACGAGTCCTCTGATTATCCTGCCTGCGCATCCTCTGATTATCCTGCTGTGAGTCCTCTGATTATCCTGCCGGCGCGGACTCTGATTATCCTGCCCGCGCATCCTCTAATTATCCTGCCCGCGCATCCTCTGCTCGGCCTGCCCGCGCGTCCTCTGATTATCCTGCCCGCACGTCCTCTGATTATCCTGCCCGCGTGTCCTCTGATCAGCCTGCCCGCGCGTCCTCTGCTCAGCCTGCCCGCGCATCCTCTGATTATCCTGCCTGCCGTGTCCTCCGATTATCCTGCCCGCACGTCCTCTGATTATCCTGCCCGCACGTCCTCTGATTATCCTGCCCGCGCGTCCTCTGATTATCCTGCCTGCCGTGTCCTCTGATTATCCTGCCTGCACGTCCTCTGATTATCCTGCCTGCGCGTCGTCTGATTATCCTGCCCGCCTGTCCTCTGCTCAGCCTGCCCGCGCGTCCTCTGTCACCCTGGACACCAGCAGCTCCTGGAGACCCCCCACTAGCTTTCCCACTGTGACCCAGCACCCTTAGCCTCTGCACGAGGCAGGAGGCACAGGGGCCAGCACCTGACCCAGGGTTGCATCCAGTGCTCGTGTGCTCCGACCCCATAACAGCACAAGTTGGGCAAGTGGCTCGGCCAAATAGGTGGCCTGGACACGGCGTGGCAGGCTTCGGGGGCAGCGGGAAGCATCTGGACTTGGGGGTTGCCGTGTGCCGGCCGCCTCAGTGATGCCAACAGCAGCATGGACTGACTGCCTCATCGGGGGTCAAGCTGCGCTGGACTGGGGAGCCTGTGCACATGAGGTGCCCACGCGCCCCTCACAGTGCCCCCAGCCCATCCGCCCTGTGGACGTTGGTCCTCATGCCTCCCCATGCTTCCCAGGCACCTACGTGACCAGGGCGGAGGCCATGGACGCTGACGACCCCGAGACAGACAACGCAGCGCTGCGGTTCTCCATCCTGCACCAGGCCAGCCCCGAGCTCTTCAGTATCGACGAGCTCACAGGGGAGATCCGCACGGTACAAGTGGGGCTGGACCGCGAGGTGAGGTGCCCCAGCAGCTGCACACCCGCACGGCAGGGCAGCCCATCTCCCTGGGTCCCTCTGCCCCCAGCCTGCCCACCCCAGACTCTCCCGTCCCTGCCATCAAAGGGAAGCACTCCTTCGCTGCAGAGCTCACAGTGGTCCTGGTCCTTGAGGAGATGGCATGGGGTGGACCCACAGATGGACAGAGACAGGAACTGCACTGGCCCAGGCAGGAGAGGTCTGGTCCAAGAAGGGTGTGAGGGGCCTTGCACAGGCCAGGGCTTCCCCAAGCGGCCCCTCCCCTCTCAACCTCATGACAACGGCTACCCGCTAGGAAGTGACTAGCTCCCTCTGTCAGGGCCTCCGCTGCCAAGCTTCTGTGCTCCCTGAAGACCACCCCTTGAGTCAGCCCCTCTGGGAAGCCCTCCTGCTTACAGTGTGTATGTGGTCTCTGTCCATTTCTGTCCCTGCCACTAACCACGGAAGCCAAGATCACTGGTGCACTTGGTGCCCAGCACACAGCAGGTGCTCTGTAAACGCTTACACACCGCACAGTAGGTGTTCTGTAATGTTGACCCACTGCACAGTAGGTGCTCTGTAAATGCTAACCCAGCACACAGTAGCTGCTCTGTAAATGCTTAGCCAGCGCCATAGGCTGGGGCAACATCACGGCCCCATGCTCTTGGGATTGGGGCAGGATTTTCAGGGCCACTTGGGGTCTTCATCACCCACTGAGTGCTCCTGTAGGAACTGAGCTGGCCAGGTGGCCTGGCACCCACACCCAACCAGTCCCCATGGGCCCCACCTGGGCCCTCATCTTCTGACCCCATGCCCCGCGTCCCCAGGTGGTTGCGGTGTACAATCTAACCCTGCAGGTGGCGGACATGTCTGGAGACGGCCTCACAGCCACTGCCTCCGCCATCATCACCCTCGATGACATCAATGACAATGCCCCTGAGTTCACCAGGAACGAGGTGCTGCTGCTGTCTGTCCCTTGAAAGTAGCTGCAGCATGGGGCTGCCTTCCCTTCTCGGGCTCCTGCAGAAGGCTAGGGGCTTCACTAGGGGCAAGAGGAGGATGGTGTGCTTTGGAGAAAGGGCTCTGCATGGGTGGCTGGAAGCCAGAGCTGGAAGGGCCTAGGGTGGCACGTGGCAGCCTGTGAAAGGAGTCAGAGCTGGGAGAGAAGCAGCCCCATGGGACCCTCTGGGACCCTCTAGCGTCAGGAAGCCAGCTTCCTCCTTCCCTCGCTGTATGGGAAGGGAGCAGCCAGCCCTGCCCTCCAGGCAAAGGTGGCACGTATGGGTGCCTGGCATGAAGCTGAGCCCACAGAGGAGGACAATGGGGGTCCCTGGGAGGCAGTGACTCACAAAACAGACAATCCTGAGGACACCCAGTGGGTGGGGAGCAGCTTCAACAGGCAGGAGCAAGGGAGGGGGTTCCCACTGGAGGCAAGGGGGAGAGTTGGGGAGAGTTGCGGGGAGGGTGGGCTGAGGGCCCAAGGGCCCCACCCATGCTGTCCCCTCAGCTCTGCTGCTAACTAGGGCTGGGATCCCCCCAGTTCTTCATGGAGGCCACAGAAGCCATCAGCGGAGTGGATGTAGGGCGGCTAGAGGTGGAGGACAGGGACCTGCCAGGCTCCCCCAACTGGGTGGCCAGGTTCACCATCCTGGAAGGCGACCCTGATGGGCAGTTCACCATCCGCACAGACCCCAAGACCAACGAGGGTGTGCTGTCCATTGTGAAGGTGAGCAGCGCCCTGCTGGCACACACAGATGCCCCCCACTGGGGTCCAGGAGCCTTCCTGGTAGGGTCGCCTCCCCTGACTGGCTGGGACCTTGTGTTCATCCTTAGGTGAGAGAGGGTAGAGGAGGGCACGGAGCCCCCGGCCTGAGGACTGGGTCCCAGGGTCGAAGGGCTCAGGCCACGCTGCCCAGGGGGCTTGAGGGCCAGCAGCGGGGGAACACCCTGCAGCCTTTGTTTACCCAGCCTTCCTCCTTCTGTGTGGGATCCGTGTCCAAAAACAGAGCCAGTCACCTGTGTCAGTCCTGGTTCTACCAGAGAAGCGGAGCCCATAGGAGCTACATTTGCACAGACGCGTACACAGGTGTAGATATGGAGGCATTAAGATACTGACACAGTAAAAGGCTGACTGCAAGAAATTGGTTCATGTGACGCTGGGGTCTGGCTGGGCAGGTCTGACGTCCAGACCACAGGCCAGAGCCAAAGCGGCTGTTTCTAGGGAGAATTGCTTCTTCCGCGGAGAAAATGCAGCTTTGCTTTCAAAGCCTTCCCTGAGTGGAAAAAGCTGACTCACATTATGCAGGGTGAACTCCTTTATTTAAAATCAAGTGACTGCAGGGGCTGGCAAGGCCGCCCACCTCTCAACCCTGAATGAGACACCCGCAGAGCGTGCGCTCGAATCCTGGGCTGCTCCCGAAGCACCACGCACACAACCGGCGTTTTCATCATACTCTTTGTGCCTTCTCGTCCTGCATAATTTCTGTTTTTTCAAGCTTAAAGGGGCAGAAGGAAGGTACAGGCACTCTGGACAGACCCAAGGAGCAGCTTCCCCAGGCACCACGCTTGGGTGCCTTCACTTGGTCTGAGCGGGTGACGGGCTGTGCTTCCTTCCCTCAGGCCCTGGACTATGAGAGCTGTGAACACCACGAACTCAAAGTGTCAGTGGAGAATGAGGCCCCACTCCAGGCAGCTGCCCCCAGGGCCAAATGGGGCCAGGCCAGGGTTTGAGTGCGTGTACAGGACACCAACGAGGCCTCCGTGTTCCAGGAGAACCCACTTCGGACCAGCCTAGCAGAGGGGGCACCCCCAGGCACTCTGGTGGCCATCTTCTCTGCCCGGGACCCTGACACAGAGCAGCTGCAGAGGCTTAGGTATGGCTCCCGAGGCCCTGGGCAAGGCTTAGGAGGCTAACAGCTGCATTCCTGTTTCGGGTACCCCTGTCCCCTGGGCTCCAAGGGTCAGAGAGTGTAGGGGCCATCTGCTGGTGTGGGTTCCTGAAGGTCTGGAGGGTCTTGAGTCCCAGGCATACCTGTGTGTACGTGCTGGACTAACCTCACCCCCTAGGGCCGGCCCAGCTCCAGCCTGTGCACACCACAGTCTGTCCCTGCAAGCCACGTCCATCCCAGGAGGCCCCTACTCCTAAGTAGTGGGCCATTCATGTTTCATTTCACCCTGAGTCTCCACGATGCTGGGGGAGAGCACTGACTGGGGCTTACCTAGGCTGCCACACCACTGTCTCAGGGCCCTGCACAGCTCGCCTGCCCTCCCTGAGCCTCACTTTCCTCACCTCACAGAAGGTGCCGGTGAGGTGACCAGACACCTCCTTTCTTGACCAGCTCCCATCATACTCACATGGGCTGTGTGTACATATATGTGTGCATTTGTGTGCACATGTGTGCTATATGCATGAGTTGTGTAGGTGTGTGTGCATGGGTGGTGTGCACAGGTGTGGGAATGTGTATATGCATGTGTATATGTGTGCATGTGTAGGTACTTTGCATGCATGTGATGTGTGCATGTGTGCATGCATGTGGCATGTAAGGTCGAGCATGTGTGTGCATATGTTGTGTGCATTTGTGAATATGTGGTATGTGTGTGTGGCGTGTGTGTGTGTGTGTAAGGTGTGTTGTGCACCCATGCCTGACCACACTTGTGGGGCCCTGGGGTAAGCTCAGATCCTGCTCTTCCCCTCTCCCACACCAGCTACTCCAAGGACTATGACCCAGAAGACTGGCTGCAAGTGGACCCAGCCACTGGCCGGATCCAGACCCAGCGGGTGCTCAGCCCGGCGTCCCCCTTCCTCAAGGGTGGCTGGTACAGAGCCATCGTCCTGGCCCAGGATGACGGTGAGCAGTTTGGGGCTTCTTGACCCGGGCTTGTCCTGGTTGAGGACCTCTGCTGGTATCTGAGGGCTCTGCCCATCCCCCGGGTGGTTGGGGCTCAGAGCTGTGCACCCCTCTGAGCGACTGGTGGGGCAGGCCAGGGTCTTGCGGTGGGGTCACCGAACTGTGGCCCCCTCGCCTGCAGCCTCTCCGCCCCGCACCGCCACTGGGACGCTGTCCGTGGAGATCCTGGAGGTGAACGACCACGCCCCCGTGTTGTCCTTGCCGCTGCTGGGCAGGCTGTGCAGTGAGCCCCACCAGGGCCCCGGCCTCCTCCTGGGCGCCACGGATGAGGACCTGCCCCCCCACGGGGCCCCCTTCCACTTCCAGCTGAGCCCCAGGCTCCCAGAACTCAGCCGGAACTGGAGCCTCAGCCAGGTCAACGGTGCGCTCCCCTCACCACCGCGCTTGGGCCGGGGACGGGACAGGAGGGCTAGGGATGCGCAACGCCGTGGTCCTGCCGCGGGGTTCCCCCGGCTGCATCCTTGCGCGGGGCAAGGTTACTCATCGCGCCCAGATGGATGGGGGGGTACCCAGGCCCAGGATCTCGGGACTCGCACCCTGTCTTGGCGTGAGGAGGACAGGCGAGGTGGGGGCGGCCCCGGCAGGCCCTCGCTGACCACGGGCGCCCTCCGCAGTGAGCCACGCGCGCCTGCGGCCGCGACACCAGGTACCCGAAGGCCTGCACCGCCTCAGCCTGCTGCTCCGGGACTCCGGGCAGCCGCCCCAGCAGCGCGAGCAGCCGCTGAACGTGACTGTTTGCCGCTGCAGCCAGGATGGCGTCTGCCTGCCGGGGGCCGCCGCGCTGCGGGCAGGGGGCGCGGGCGTCAGCCTGGGCGCGCTGGTCATCGTGCTGGCCAGCGTCCTCCTGCTGCTGCGTGAGTGAACACCCACATCCACCGGACCCTCAGACCCTCCGACCCTCCAGCCCTCCTCTCCAGGACAACCCCTGCTTGCCAGACACGCCCCTTCCTCGCCGGCTCCACCGCCTCCTCCCTAACCCCGCCCTTCATTACCGGACACGCCCCTTCCTCCCCGGCTCCAACGCCTGCTCCCTAACTCCGCCCCCTTATTACGAGACACGCCCCTTCCTGGCTCCACCACCTCCTCCCTAACCCCACCCCCTCATTAACAGCCACGCCCCTTCCTCCCCGGCTCCACCGCCTCCTCCCTAACCCCGCCCTCTTATCACCAGAAACGCCCCTTCCCGGCTCCACCACCTCCTCCCTAGCCCCGCCCCCTATTACCCGCCACGCCCCTTCCCGGCTCCACCGCCTCCTCCCTAACCCCGCCCCCTCCCTAACCCCGCCCCCTTATTACCCGCCACGCCCCTTCCCGGCTCCACCGCCTCCTCCCTAACCCCCGCCCCTCCCTAACCCCGCCCCCTTATTACCCGCCACGCCCCTTCCCGGCTCCACCGCCTCATTACCAGCCACGCCCACATGACCAGACACCCCCTTTCCTCCCCAGCTCCGCCGTCCCCTCCCTAAGCCCGCCTCCTCATTACAAGTCACTCCCCCTATTACCAGCCAGGCTTGTTCATACCATGTTCCGCCACCCCTCCCGACCCTCTCCTCATTACGTCACGCCCCCTTCTCCCCAATCCCGAAGCGTCACCAGCCACGCCCCTTTCCCAAGCTCCGCCCCCTACTTGCGGACCTTTCTCTTGCCCAGCCCGCCCCTTCCACCCAGCACCTGGCCCCGCCCCCTCCCCCACCTCCCTCGCAGCCCTCCCCCTGATTTCGCGCTTTGTGTCTGGCCCCCGCCTGCGTCCCCCTCATTTCCCAGTGCTAGTCCTGCTTGTGGCGCTCCGGGCACGGTTCCAGAAGCAGTCTCGGGGCAAGGGGCTTCTGGGGAGCCCCCAGGACGACCTTCGAGACAATGTCCTCAACTACGATGAACAGGGAGGAGGGGAAGAAGACCAGGTGAGGGGGAAGGTGTGGGTAGGGAGAGGTCTCCAGAGAATGCAGGCTGCAAGTTGGCCAGGAGCCACCGCGGGATGCATGGCTCTATTTCACGTCCTCGCCCACAGGATGCCTACGACATCAGCCAGCTGCGTCACCCGACAGCACTGAGCCTGCCTCTGGGGCCGCCGCCACTTCGCAGAGATGCCCCACAGGGCCGCCTGCACCCCCAGCCACTCCGAGCTCTGCCCACCAGCCCCCTGGACATCGCTGACTTCATCAGTGATGTAGGTGCTCCTGGGAACACCCCAGCACATACAGGCACACAAAGGTGCACACATGTAGGCACACACATACGTGCACATTTACACACCTGCCCACACATGCAAGGACCCGCGTGTATGCACTGTACACGAGCTTTCCAAGGGCACCCGCAGAGGAAGATGCAGCGTGGGTGGGGGTGCAAAAGCCGCCCTGCCACTGTCTGAACTGGGCCATCAGCCTCCGCCCACGATGCAGGTCTTTGCATGGATGGAGTGGCGTGGCCACAGACTCATCCACTGCCCCATACCCACCGTGGAGGGGGAGGGGAGCCCCAGGAGCATCCCCTGGGCTTTGGTGGCTCTCAACAGAATCAAGCCCTCCCCAGGAGCCCCTCTGGACGCAGCGTTAACAATTCCCTGCCATCCACAGGTGGATACAAACATGGGAAATCTGGGGTGGGGGTGCGCAGGGAACTCCCTCCCCTCGGCCTGCCTGCACCTGTAGCACCTGGCTCAGAGAAAGCCCCCAGCAGAGGTGCGCACCCCCGGTTAGGAGAGTGTGTGTCCCCACGAGCTGAGAGGACGAAGGTGTGGACAGAGCCTCGGAAAGGCAGGAGGGCTGTCCTGCGGATGGGGGTGTCCGGGAGGCTCGGGTTCTGGCGTCAGTGGACAGGGGCTGCTGGGACCAGGAGACCAGGGTGATGGGAGCAACCCCTTTTACCCGCTGGGGCAGGCAGAGCCCTGGGGGACGGGCTGACCACTGGCCTAATCCTGAGGAAGGGGGCAGCCCACTGCACCCTCTTCGCGCCCTCTGCTGTGCCCTCACGAAGCTTTGCCTCCCTGCAGACCTCGCCCCGGACGTGGGCAGCTTCCCCTTCCTGTGCCTGTGCCTGGAGCTGACTTTGCCATGGGCTATGGCCACAGTAGGGCGGGGGAGGCACCTGCTGGCCTCTACATGCGTCCTGACCTCTCTTGGCCTCTTGCAGGGCTTGGAGGCTGCGGACAGTGACCCCAGCGTGCCGCCTTATGACACAGCCCTCATCTATGACTACGAGGGCGAGGGCTCTGTGGCAGGGACGCTGAGCTCCATCCTGTCCAGCCAGGGTGATGAGGATCAGGACTACGACTACCTCAGGGACTGGGGGCCCCGTTTCGCCCGGCTGGCAGACATGTACGGGTACCCGTAAGGGTTGGAGCCAGGAACCAGATGGGACCACCGGGCCAGAGACAGTCTTTCTCTAGGGGCACCTCCACCCAGAGACAGAGGGTGGACAGCCTGACCCTGGGGCGCAACTGGACACATCACTCCCAGGCCACCTGGCAGTGATGGCCCCTGCAGAGACAGCCTGAGGTCACTGGGCCTGACCCCAAGTGCCTGGAGCAGCCTCGTTCCTGGAGGGGAGGACCCAAGTCTTGGGCAGAACCCAAGTGTGGAGGGGCAGCCAGGAAGAGGCTCCTTCCTGCCGGGGTGGGAAGAGCTTCTCTCCGTCAGCCCCACGGGGGTCGCCTCCCACCAGTGGACTTCATCTTTGTATGAAAGACGGCAGCCTCCCGGGTAAATCTGAATGAAAAACATACTAGTGTGTCTCATGCGGGGTGGGCGCCCAGTGCCGCACTGACCGTGAGGGGAATAGGGCCAGGCCCCCATCCCACCCTACTTGGCTGGAGCAGGGGTGGCTGGGGACTGCCCCTACCTGGAGAGGGGCTGTGGAGCGACTGCTGATACACTGGCTCCTTGCTAGGGAGCCCAGAGGTGGGGAGTGGGCACAGGTGAGGCCCCTCCAGGCCCCAGGTGTGGCCTGAGGGAAGAACCAGGGAGGACGCCAAGTTCCACGGAAGCCTTTATCCTCCACACCTGCTGGGTTTGACCAGGGAGGAGACTCAGGGCCTCCCAGGGCCCAGGGCTCAGCTGGGGACAAGTTCGCGCTGTCCCCATGGCTCTACCTGCACTGAGACACGGGCTTCTGAGGGGTACGTGTCTCCCCTGGACCAGACGTCTAGGGTACTCAGCCATGCCGCAGGCCTTGACCTCGGTCCCTCCTGGCTCCTGGGGCCAGCAGGCAGCACTAGTGCTGCTCGAGGGTGTGGCCGGCCCAGCAGGCATCAGAGGGCGACAGCAGAGGCAGGTGGTCCTGGCGGGAGCAGCCCCGCAGGCATGGGGGGCAGCGCAGGCGGTCGGCAGTCCTGCAGTGACTGCGGCAGGCCCCGGTTTCGGCTCTCTGGCAGCAGCAGGACGCACAGCAGGGTAAGGACAGCGAGGGAGGTGAAGACCACATGTTGAAGGAAGAAGCCCCTCCGGCCGTGCATGGTGTCCAGGGGGTCGGCCGCCTGGCCCAGGAACCCGGCACCTAGCACCAGGCCCAGCCCGGCCCCTCTGTGGGAGAGAGTATGTTGAGGACAGCTGGCGGGGCAGCTGTGGGGCACCAGACATGGGGACACACACACGTGACTGCAGAGGGAGTGGCAGGAAGGCTGGCTGAAGCAGAGCCTAAGGTTTGCTGGCTGAGGATAACTTCCAAGCTTGCTTTGGAAAAGCCTCCTTCCTTCCTGTCCCGGAGCAGCACCTGTGCTCTGTTCATTCAAAGCTCGGAAGTGATGGTTCCCCTGAAATTCTGCCATCTCTGGAGGCTTCCTCATCTCTGCCCCGCCCCTTGTCCCCCACCTTCCCTCCCCTTCCCAGTTCCTGAGGCGTCTGCCCAGAGCCTCCTGTGAGCAGGGGCACCCGCCACCCAGGAGCAGGGCAGCACTTCACCTGAGTGTCACTGGACGGAGGAAGTGCAGCAGGCGGGGTGTGGGGACCGGCCTCCTTCCACCTGGCCCCTCCTCCCCACGAGGGGCCCTGGGCCCTGCTGTGTGGCTGGGCAACCCTGTAGCTCACCTGATCACTGTAGGGAACACCTCAGCTGCAAAGAGGCTGCTGAGTACAGACACAGCCCGGGAGGCCAGGAGCCCCAGGACAGAGACGGACAGCATGGTCCAGCCCGGCAGATCTGGGGACAAAGGACAGGGGTTCCCAGGCCTTCCACCCTGGCCACGCAGAGCCTCTCCCCAGAGAACCACACCGCTGTCTGGGCACCTACTTCCCAGGCCTCCACCTCCAGCCCCTCTGCGGAACCTGACAGGGCACCCTGTCCTCTGCTGCCTGATTCCAGCCTGGCTTGGATTCTCAGGATGATAGAATCCTAACCCGGAGCCACAGCCACAGCAGCCACCTCCCCCCGGGCCTGTGCTCAGCTACTGTATGCTGTCCACTGCCTTTGCAATTTCGATAACCATCCTAAAATCTTGAATACTTTGGAAGTAAGGCATGTATCTCATTTGGGACCCAGCCCCACACACCATGTGACCAGCCCTAAGTAGATGGGCCCTCCCATGCCAGCCTGGGGCCAGCGGAACTCTGGGCAGAGCCTGCCCAGCCTGGCCTCTTGACCTCTCACCCCTGTGCTGCATTCTGTGGTTGGGGACAGCTTTTTCTGAGATGGAATTTCACTTGTTGCCCAGGCTCAAGTGCAGTGGCATGATTTCAGCTCACTACAACCTCCGCCTCCCTGGTTCAAGTGATTCTCCAGCCTCAGCCCCTCACCTAGCTGGGATTACAGGCATCTGCCAACACATCCAGCTAATTTTTTGTATTTTTAGTAGAGACAGGGTTTCTCCACGTTGGTCAGGTTGGTCTTGAACTCTTGACCTCAGGTGATCCACAAGCCTTGGCCTCCCAAAGTTCTGGGATTACAGGCGTAAGCCACCGTGCCCAGTAAGGTATTTTAGGCTCAGGCAGGTTCCTGGTTCCTTACTTTGGGCCTCCCAAAAGGATCAGAGGAAAACCATGCTGCTCCCCCTGTCTGCACCACAGCCTCCTGATGGGGCAGACCTTCAGCCCAAACACCACGGCCCTATATGGCCTGTGGGGCCCCAAGCTCACACTGGGCCCCAGCGAGGATCAGCAGGGATGCCAGGCCTGTGGCCATGGTGCCCAGCAGCAGGACGGGGCGGCGTCCCCAGCGATCTGCTGTCAGGAGCAGGAACACCAAGGCTGCTGCCTCCAGGCCGGCCTCCAGGAAGTAGGGCAGGTAGAAAGTCAGCACCTGAGGGGCCAGGCTGCGAAGGAAGCTGGCTCTGATGCCCCCACCAACCAGTCTGGGAGAGAGAACAAAGCTATGGGCCCAGCCAGAGCCAGGACCCTGGGAACCACACACCCACCCCCCAAGGGAAGGTACAGAACCCAAGCCCTTCCTCTACTCACGAACTGAAGCTCAAGATAAGCCCGTTTCTCCAGGTGACCTGGGTGTGCAGGAGCCCCAGGGGGGAGTGGTACTGGGGCTGGGGGCTCCCTGCAGACAGCATGGCCAGCTCTGTAGCAGCAGAGATGTGGGGGTAGAGGGGGGTGAAGAGCAGGCAGTCCCTCTTTGAAGCCCTCCTCTAGTACCTGAATCTCCCTCCTCCCTGCCCAGTGCCTGACCTGTGGCCAGGGAGTTCTCCTCCAAGGAACCGTGGTCGGGGTCCACACCGCTGGCTTCTGCAAAGTGCCACAGGATGTTCCTGGCTCGGGCTACCTGCCCTGTGGCCAGCAGCCAACAGGGAGACTCGGGGAACAGGGCTGGGAACCTGCAGGGTTGGTGAGGATACCCAAGGCTCCCTCCACCTCCAGGATAGAGAGGCAGAGGCCAGGCCCCCACTTCTCCCCGGACTCAGGGGAGGGACATGGCTGTGGTTCTCTGTCACCCCGTCCCAACAGCTTACCCCATGTGGGATACATCAGTGCAGAGGGAAACTACACAGCCCCCACGGGGGCTGCTGGCCCCGCTCCCATCACACTTACCCCCAGAAGAGCAGCAAGAGCCCACTCATCAGGGCGCCCAGCCCCTGCAGGAGGTGCCAGTCCTGCACAAGTGCAGCCAGGCCAGGCAGCAGCAGAGTGCCCACCACAGAGAAAAGGCCGGCCCCCAAGGAGAAGGCCAGGCGATGAGGAGGGTCACACAGCTCCAGGCCTGGGCAGATAGAGACGGGCTGAGGTGGAGGCCTCAGGGAGGGCTAGAACAGTCCCACTGGGGACTGCAGGGACCTAGTGCTGACCTGCCTGGGAGTGGGATGCCCGAGCTGGACTCCCCACCCCTGCAGCTCGGGGCTCTTGGCAACTGAGCCTCAGAGGCCTTCGGGCCACCCACTGCCCCTCCCCCAGTGACAGCAGCCCCCATGGTACTCACGAGCCAGGTACAGGGCAAGCAGGGCTCCTGCCAACATCCCCCCATGGATTAGGCGCAGGACCAGTAGGGTAAGGAAGCTGGTCACCAGGGCCTCGCCGGCCCCAAGGCCCGTGGACAGCACCAGGGAGGCCACAAAAACTGCCCGGCGGCCAAACCTAGGGGGTAGCGGGGGACATGCTAGGACAGGGTCAGGGCAACCCAGGGTCCGCTTAATCCTGGCAGCACCAGGTCTAGCTGAACCCTGAGAGCAGTGGGCCAGGGGTGGGGAGGGCTGCTGGGCAGCAGGAAAGGGGAAGGGGCCTCACCGGTCACAGCCCGCTCCCAGGATGACACAGCCCAGCAGCCAGCCCAGGAGGTGGCTCAGCTGCTCCAGCGGGACATTCCAGCTGTCTCCGCACATGAGGTTCCACTGTGGGGAACAGCAGCCACGTGGAGGCCAGCTCAGGACCCTCCCCTGCCTCCTCACTGGGGACAGGTGCAGGGAGTCCCAGAACGGCTGCCCAAAAGCGCCCTACACGGCCTGCTCAATCCCTCCCTGAAGGGGAAACTGAGGCATGAGAAGGCAAGGTGGCTTGGTCCAGTTCACACAGCAGCCTCTTGGGACTCCGGCAGTCCCTGCAGAGGGGTTGGGAGACCTGCCCCCCCTTGTTTTCTGCTTGTCTCTAGAAGGGGCCTCCCCCACCTCTGCACACCATTGCTCTGCTCCGAAGCCAAATCTTGTCCCACCTGTTTCTACCTCCTGAGGGACCCCAGGGACACCCATGGCCTCGGTGGCATCGTAGACACAACCCCCACCCCACCCAGCCAAGGGCCATAGCCATGACACAGACCTAAGAAATGAGTCGCAGCACCCGCCCCGGTCCCGCCCTGCCCGTTTCAAGAGGGACTCAGGCAGCAGCTGGAGAGCTGTGCTCAGCGGCATTTCCCGGTGAGGCCCTTGACCCTTGACCTCAGCTCTGCGCCCCCCACCCCCTTTCCAGTTCCTCGCTCTTCTTGCCAAGCTTAATCTACTGCTGGGGAACATGCTATGTCTGCGATTTAACTTTCAAACCTGCGGTTTTGTGGAGCCGGGCCCCAGACAGGAGGGCAGGTGGGAGTGGGGGTGGAGAGAGAAGCTGGGCGGGTTCCAGGGCCCCAGGCAGGCCCTTGCGGGGAGATGTGGCAACCCAGAACCAGTTTCCACGCTGGGGCCAATCCTCCCAGGGTGGGAGGTGGAGGCCGCGGGGTAAAGGCTGCCGCAGGAGTGGGAAGCAAGAGAGGGGTCTGAGGGTCCCTGCCGCCGCTTCCCCAACTCTTCTCACGCAGATAGTCAAGGTTCCCCTTCAGGCAATGCTGCCTCCAGCCCAGCCTCCGCGCGCCACGCCCCATGGGTGGGAAGCCCACTGTTCCCAATCTGTGCTGACCACGCCAGTCTCTCCAAGCAGAGACTCTCCCTGGGAAGCCAGCCCAAAGCCACGGTCTGCTCAAGACGCTGGTGGTCGTGAAGCAAATTCCAGGCCCTGCTCCCCCTGGCCTTCAGCTCCAATCCTCCTGCGCCCCAGGCCACCCCGCGCCCAGACTCAGCCCCCGCCGGATCCATGGGAGCAGCCTCTCCGCAGGCCTGGCCCTGAGCGCGCGTCTACCGCACCAGCGGGCCGGGGGCCACCCCCAAGCGGGGACCGCAGGAGGACGGGCGGGTGGCCCGGGACAGAGGCGCCAGCGAGGGCGGAGAAGACACAGGCAGGGCCTCGGCAGGCTGCGGGCGGGGCGGGCCGCCGGGCAGCGGGAAAGGGGCGCACCTGCGTGACCCGGCTGCGCAGGAGGCCGGCGGCGGGCAGCGCGTAGAGCCAGCCGCGAGGGCCGGGGCGCGTGCCGTTGGGCGCGGGCGCAGGGCGAGGGCCGCGGCGGGCGCGGGGCGCGGGCTCGGGGTAGCGCAGGAGCAGGCAGGGGCTCTGGACGCGCGTGGGTCCCAGGCGCGGGATGGCTGCGTCGAGCAGCGCGGGGGGCAGCAGCGCGGGGTCCGGCCGGCAGCAGCGCGCCGGCTGCGCGGTAAGCAGCGCCTCGGAGCTCAGCGCCAGCCCCAGCACCACGCAGGGCACCCACGAGGCGGCGGCCAGCAAGCGCCGGGCCCGGCCGAAGCCACCCGCGGCCCTCAGCACCCGCGCCTCCTGCTCCATGTGCCGCGGGCTGCGCGCGGGTCGGGACTGGGCCGGGACCCCGGCTCGCTCCGTGGGCGGGGCCTGGGGGCGAGGCCCTAATGGGCGGGGCCCGAGCCGAATGGGGCGGGGGTGTGGGCGGGACCTGTGAGGGACGAGTCCTGACGGGGCGGAGCCTGACCTGGCCGTAGGGCGGGGGCTTGAGGCCGAACAGCGAGAGGGCGGGGCACAGTGCGGGAGGGGGCGGGGCCGGGGGCGTGGCCGCGCGCTCTAGTACCCGCGGGGCGCAGGTGCACGCAGGTTGCTCTGGGCGGGGGGTCCCGCGGGCGTCTCGGAGGGGTGGTCCTTGCGTGGCACCGAGAGCGTCCGCCCGGGCGGGGCGAGGTCGGGGAGGGCAGCCGCCTGCTCTTCTCCACACCAGGAGCTTTCGTCTGGTTTTGCAGGAGGAGCTCCCAGGTGACCCGCGGGTTCTGAAACCGCCGCTCGGGAGCTCGGGGCCTGCGCGGCAGCTCCGGGGCGATCGAGGGAGAACGGACGCCTTTCGCCGGGTTCCTTCTCCCCTTCTGAGAACCAAGTAGGTGGTACTTATTTTCGAGTCCGATTATTTTCTTCTTCTTTTTTTTTTTGGACGCGGAGTCTCGCTCTGTCGTCCAGGCTGGAGTGCAGTGGCATGATCTCAGCTCACCGCAACCTCTGCCTCCCGGGTTCAAGTGATTCTCCTGCCTTAGCTCCCGAGTAGTTGGGATTACAGGCATCCACCACCACTCCCAGCTAATCTTTGTGGTGTTTTTTTTTTTTTTTTTTTTTTGAGACGGAGTTTCGCTCTTGACCTCGTGATCCACCCGCCTCGGCCTCCCAAAGTGCTGGGATTACAGGCTTGAGCCACCACGCCCAGCCCGACATACAATGTTTTTTTTTTTTTTTTTTTTTTTTTTTTTTTTTTGAGACGGAGTTTCGCTCTTGTTACCAGGCTGGAGTGCAATGGCGCGATCTCGGCTCACCGCAACCTCCGCCTCCTGGGTTCAGGCAATTCTCCTGCCTCAGCCTCCTGAGTAGCTGGGATTACAGGCATGCACCACGATGCCCAGCTAATTTTTTGTATTTTTAGTAGAGACGGGGTTTCACCATGTTGACCAGGATGGTCTCGATCTCTTGACCTCGTGATCCACCCGCCTCGGCCTCCCAAAGTGCTGGGATTACAGGCTTGAGCCACCGTGCCCGGCTATGTTTGTGTTTTTAGTAGAGACGGGGCTTCACTATGTTGGCCAGGCTGGTCTCGAACTCCAGACCACAAGTGATCCACCCACCTCGGCCTCCCAAAGTGTTGGGGTTACAGGCGTGAGCCACGGCTCCCGGCCAAGTCAGAGTGTTTTCGCGGTAACATTTGTGGCAACAATCATGGTGGATTCTGTGGATCGATCCTGAGTTTTCTGACTCCTAGTTTCTCTCGTTTTGCTTTGTCAGTGGGCTCTGCATTTGCATGCATAATTCGAATTGGCACTTCGCTTCCTAACACTTCTACTGAGGTGGAACTCACATCACATAAAAGGCCAGGCATGGTGGCTCACGCCTGTAATCCCAGCATCTGGGAGGCCGAGGCGGGCGGATCATGAGGACAGGAGTTCAAGACCAACCTGACCAATATGGGGAAACCCCTCTCTACTAAATAAAAAATTGGCTAAAATAAAAAATTAGCCGGACGTGGTGGCTGGCGCCTGCAGTCCCAGCTGCCTGGGAGGCGGAGACAGGAGAATCGCTTGATCCCAGGAGGCGGAGGCTGCAGTGAGCCGAGATCGCGCCACGGCACTCCACCCTGGGCGACAGAGCGAGACTCAGTCTAAAAAACAAAGTTAGACAAAAAGAAAATGCCAAAGAATCAACTGTTAGAGCTCCTTTTTATCAGACAGATAAAAAGGAACGGGACCAGGGACTCCCTGCAGAGATGGAGAGGGCACCGAGCACTCCACCCCGCGGCCTCCCGCTGTGGCCGGATCGCGCGCCGCGCTCGCGACGACCACTTCCTGGCTGTGCCCGCCCAGCCTCGCGCTCTCGGTCTGTTCCGGCTGCGCGGTGGCGCCCAGAGGCCTGGTCCTTACGTCCGCCTAGTCCTCCGGGCCTGTCTCTGCCTCCAGCCCCGTTCCCGCGGCAGCCCCGCAACCCTCCCGCTTCCCCGCGGAAGAAATGACAACTTCCGGGCGCTGGAAGCCAACGCTTCGGCCGGCCGGCTGGAGACGGAAGTGACGCCAGAGACGCGCCGGCATGTCTTTAGTTAGCTGTCCCTGTCTTTGCGGCGGTCAGCCCCGGCGCCGGTGAGTTCCGCGCGTGTCCTGGGGCCGTCCGCGGGGGTTCCGGCCCGGGCGCAGTCGCCCGCACCCTGCACCCCGCGCCCCGCTACCCGGATAGTGCGTCGCCACCGATTCCGGAAGGGAGAGTCGCCGCCGCTCGCGGCTGGGGGACCCGGGCCGCGCCTCCGTTCCGCGGAGCTGGTGAGAGAGGAGACCTCCGCTTCCTCGGTATGAACAGGGCGGGCTTCTGTGAGAATTTGGCTTTGACGGTTTTTATTTGATTCTGGCACATGTGTTGGGATCGAAGCATAAGGTCGATTCCCGGGGTCCGGGCCGCCGCTCTCCGTGGGCACCGCGGCCGTTCTCCGCTGTCCGTGCTCACGTTTTGCTGTAGAAAAACCTGAATGTTGGCCGGGCGCGGTGGCTCACGCCTGCAATCCCAGCACTTTGGGAGGCCGAGGCGGGTGGATCACGAGGTCAAGAGATCGAGACCATCCTGGTCAACATGGTGAAACCCCGTCTCTACTAAAAATACAAAAAATTAGGCCGGGCGCGGTGGCTCAAGCCTGTAATCCCAGCACTTTGGGAGGCCGAGGCGGGTGGATCACGAGGTCAAAAGATCGAGACCATCCTGATCACCATGGTGAAACCCCGTTTCTACTAAAAATACAAAAAATTAGCTGGGCATGGTGGCACATGCCTGTAATCCCAGCTACTCAGGAGGCTGAGGCAGGAGAATTGCCTGAACCCAGGAGGCGGAGGTTGCGGTGAGCCGAGATCGCGCCATTGCACTCCAGCCTGGGTAACAAGAGCGAAACTCCGTCTCAAAAGAAAAAAAAAAAGAAAAACCTGAATCTAAACGCTAAACATCTGCTGCAAGGAATAGCCCCTGCAGTCGTCTTACTCACTGTTGGCGCTGGGCCGTGTTTTCTGTGTCTCCGGTAAACAAACCTTATGGTGGACCACTATTTGAGTATAATTAAGTTGAAAATAAACTGCGCTCATGATACTTAACCTTTAAATACTTGGTGAAGCATCTCTTAAAGACAAAAATGTTGTCCTGCTAAACCACAATACTAGTATTTCTCCTGAGAAAATTAAAAATAATACGGTCATCCGCTGCCTACTCTGTAATGCCTAGAATTCTCGATGTTGTTCCAACATTACGGTGTTGGGTATTGGGGGGACTAAGAGCCATTCCAGGTTTCTACATTCCCACCGTTAATGTCTTAGTGTCTTTTCAGCTGGAACGGTTCCTATCATTCCTCTAGCATATTGCCTTTGGCATTGTTTTCTCATGATATGTTTAAATATCCCTCCATTTCTTGCTGCTTCCTATGAACCAGTAGTTGAATTCAGAGGAGAGGTTGGCAGAGGGCGGACAGTAAGTACCTTATGCTTTGGGAGCCACGAAGTCTTAGATTACTGAGTCACTTCCTGTCCCATCCTTCTCTAGCTGTTAGCTGTTCCTTCTCTGCTCTGTACTAGTGGCAAGCCACAGCCCATTTCTCATAAGGTCAACGGGCAGCTGCCTTTAGAGGTTGTAGATTTACTCTAAAGTCCCACAGGGCTGTTCTCTGAGTCTCATCCGTGCCTGCCAGAGGCTTCCAGCGGAACCTGTGTACCATGGACACTGTGTCACTGGGTCTGCTGCATCATCTCCACCGAGTGCCTAAGAAGCTTGTCCTGCACCTGAACTGCCCGGATCCACTGGCAGCCTTATAGGTAACTGTATAGAGCATTGAAGCTGTTACATACATTGCCTCTAAACTTAAAAGATCTGCAAAATGTCGTGATTCTTTTTTGGTTATAGGTTTTATGAGGTGCCGTAACTTGGGGGTGCGTATTGGAGGGGATGTCTTTATGTAATCCAGGCTACTGAACTCACAGAAACCGGCCCCTGAATCCCAAGCCCTGTATTCTTTATGTTTCATATGAAGGTATCTAAAATGTGTTGATTTCCTGTTTACTGTATCCAGCCAGCATAATGTCATCATAGCATATAAGGGCAGTCTGAAAGTCAGGTCCTCTGGGGATGGTAAGGCAGAGAACGGAATTTTACCTCCTTTTTTGAAACAAGGAAGGGAGCTGTGCAGGTGGCACCAAACTGAACAGGTGTGGGCCTTTCCCCGTTCAGACACCTGGTAGTAAGTACAATTTATAGGAGGAGAATGGACATGTTTTTCTGACCTGTGAAGCATTGTTGTTTTAGTCACCTCATCAGTAGAATAGAAAAGCACGGCTCTAGGCTTACTTTTGTCCTGCTGGGTAGTGATCACAGACTCAGGGGTACAAACCGACAAGGTGGTTGAACATGTACTGGCTAGCTGTCTTGGTTTACCACCTCCGGAGTAGATGAAGTGAGACGAATTCCTGTTATCTGAGTCTAGGGTATTTTAGGTATAAACCCAAGTGAAATTTGTGAATGGCTGTTCTGATGATTAAATAAGGCTTCTGGTGTGTCTTCTGACCCATATACTGCTCTTGAGTAGATGATACGGGTATTACTAGTTCTCAAGAGAGTAAACAGGATGCAGTGGCTTTCACATATATCATCTGCAGAGACAAGCTAATGCATGAGGTTTGTTAACTGGGAAGTAATGGTTCCTCGTTATTGTTTGATAGAAAATCGAGATCCAGCCATCCCTGCATCAGGAGGGCAGGAGACTGCGCTATCCACAGAGGTTCACAAGCCGCCCTGCAGCAGCCTTGGCCTCAGGAACGGAGCCTTCAGACGTTCCCATCAGCCTCCCAGGATGGCAGCCCCTGACCTGGCCCACAGTGAGTCCTGGTGTTGCTCTTCCTCAGATACTTTGCTCTAGGTCCTGATACACAGTGTGAGTCCCACGGACGGGCCTCAGTAGTCACGCTCTGGGTTCCTGTCGTAGCTGCTGGAGTGAGCCAGAGAGTGCAGCCTTGTCGGTAAGCCCCGGGTGTGTGTGCCGTGGAAAGGGGTGATGCATAAACTCCTTCATGAGTTTTCTCGTCGTGGGCACATGAAGAGTCACGTCCCTTGGGGTTTGCGTTTCCATATTTGCAATAGGAGACTTGCCATTTCCTGACGGGCAGCGTAGCTCACAAACCTGTTGTATCACTGGGCGACACAGACCACCCTGGCACTATGTGACTGTGTGTGTGTGTTTTCCTGAGTGTGCAGGCGTACATGGGAATTTCCTGCTAGGATGGAATGACTTCCAGGTACGTAAACGTCTAAATTAGGGTCAGCTGTGGATTCTCGTGCCTTCTTTCTTTTTTAGGAGGTCATTTTTCTAAGGACTTAGTCTGCCTTCATGAAGAACAGACCCAGGCAGCAGGGATGTTGGCTGGCTGGCTGATAGATTCTTATCAGGTATGCCAAAACCTTATGTTTCTAAGAATAGCATACTGGTATTCATCAGACTGACACATTTCTGTCTGGGCAGACTTGCGTCCGCTGCTTCTTAAAGCAAATAAAGCCTCACTCAAGGACTGAGTCCCTGGTTGAATCTCCCTAGGAGCTGAGCCTAGTTGATCATGTGTTACTGCAAAAATCCTCCCAGTATTTCAATGTTACCTCGGCTCACGGCAACCGCTGCCTCTTGGGTTCACGATTCCCCTGCCTCAGCCTCCTGAGTAGCTGGGATTACAGGCGTCCACCACCATGCCCAGCTAATTTTTATTATCTTTAGTAGAGATGGGGTTTTACCATGTTGGCCATGCTGGTCTCGAACTCCTGACCTCAGGTGATCCACCCGCCTTGGCCTCCCAAAGTGCTGGGATTACAGGCGAGAGCCCCTGCACCTGGCTTCAATGTTACTTACTATTTTGACCCTGTAGCACCAAATGCATGGTTCTTATTTTGCTGCTGCTCTGACACATGGTAAGGAGGAGAGAGTGTCCTCTCTGAGAACTGATTTCCACATCATGACTTATCACTTGCTTGTACTGTGCTCAGGAGAGGGACATAAGGCGAGAGGCGTGCCCTGTGGGGTTGTGGTGAGACAAGTTCACATTAGAGGGGCCAATCCAGCCATATGGGGGAGATGGACATCACGTGTGTGGGTAGAGAAGGGCTCCCAGGACCCTTGGGCCATGGGGTAGACAATGGGAGGCCTCACGGTCCCATGGAGCCTAGGGCCCCGCTTCCTCATTCTCCAGGGAACACTGATGACAGGTCGAGCAGCTCTGACCGTCACGTGTGATGATTTAGGACTCGGTGACCTTTGATGACGTGGCTGTGGACTTCACCCAGGAGGAATGGACTTTACTGGACCCATCTCAGAGAGACCTCTACAGGGATGTGATGCTGGAGAACTATGAAAACCTGGCCTCAATAGGTGAGGCGGCCTCCATTCTTGGCAGCTTCTGTAGCATCGATACGTTTCTCCTTACTGTGCTCCAGAGTTGGTGATGGCAAAGCCGAGTACTGAGGAAGTAACATAAAGCAACTATGCGAATGGGCTTGAAACTAGGGGTGGTAGTTTCCAGAATATGGCCCTAGGGTCAGGACTGTCACGTCACTCACCTAGAAATGTGCATTCTCAGACTGCACTTGTTACACACTGGATCACAATGTCTGCTGGTGGGGGGGCGGGGGTGCTGTCATCTCTGCTTAACAAGCCCACCAGATGAAGCCAATTCATTGTAACACTGAGAACCACTGGGCAGTAGTTTCCCAAATGAATGAAAATCTCTTTGTGCTTACATTATTTCCTATTTCAGTAGGAGTCTTAGCGATTTTTACAAGGTGCATTTAAGCCTGAATGTGGTTATAGTGCTCAGAGATAACCAGTGTCTTTGAGGCACACAAGGATGGGGTATTTGCACTTTGAGCTCTTTCACGACAGTTTCACTACTTTCTTTAATAATGTAGTTCTTGGCCAGGTGCAGTGGTTCATGCCTATAATCCCAGCACTTTGGGAGGCAAAGGTGGATGGATCACCTGAGATCAGGAGTTTGAGACCAGCCTGACCAACATGGAGAAACCCAATCTCTACTAAAAATACAAAATTAGGCAGGTGTGGTAGCACACGCAGGTAATCCCAGCTACTTGGTAGCTAAGACAGGAGAACCCGGGAGGCGGAAGTTCTGGTGAGCCAAGATCACATGGTTGCACTCCAGCCTGGGCAAAGAGAGGAAAACTTTGGCTCAAAAAAAAAAAAAAAAGAAAAAGAAAGAAATGTAGTTATTTCATGGGTAGGTTTGTCATCTCTTCCACTGGTGTCTCTTTCCCTGTATACAGGACATCACCTGTTCAAACCCAGTGTGATCTGTTGGCTGGAGAAGGAAGGGCAGTTGAGGGCAGGGCAGAGAGGAGTTCTCCAAGGTGAGTGAGTGTGAAGAGCGTCCCTGGTTGATGTCAAGTTTGGTGGGTGTGGAAGGTTCCTGAGTGTACGTTTTAAGATGCATTCTGGCACAGAACGTGAGGCCATTGGACTCACAAGTTTGGGCGTATCCTGAGCTTCCCATATTTCCTTAGTTTCTGTCTGATCTGGACTTCCCTGTGATCTCATTACAAACCTGCTCTTTTGTTCTTTGAGTTTGTATGTTTTTTGTGTTTTTGTTTGTTTGTTTGTCTTTGGTTTTGAGGTGGAGTCTCACTCTGTCACCAGCCTGGAGTGCAGTGGCGTGATCTCAGCTCACTGCAGCCTCCACCTCCCGGGTTCAAGCAATTATCCTGCCTCAGCCTCCTGAGTAGCTGGAATTACAGGCATGTGCCACCACACCAGCTAATTTTTTATTTTTAGTAGAGATGGGGTTTCACCATGTTGGTCAGGCTGGTCTCAAACTCCTGACCTCAAGTGATCCATCTGCCTTGGCCTCCCAAAGTACTGGGATTACAGGTGTGAGCCACCACATCGGGCCAAGTTTGTGTTTTTAATATATGCTGTTTGTCTAGGTCTTTTCTTGCTTTCTTTCATTGATAATACTGTTTCTATTCACCATCACATTAATTTTTTTATAGACTAAATTTATTTTAAAACCTTCTAAATTATGACTCCCAGTTCCTATATTCCAAATTTTACACATAGCCCCATTCATCAAATCTATCTTTGCTTTATTTATTTATTTATTTATTTATTGCTATGTTTTATGTGAAAACAAATAACAATCAGTTTGATCATTTTTAGGTCAATTAACCTACCATTTTGTTCTGCAAACCCTTTTTTTCTTTTATGCTTCAGAATGGCAAGTTAAAAGCAAAGGATCAGCACTTCAGCAGGACAGAGCTTGGTTCAGAGCATCAGATGAGACACAAATGGTAAGATGAACAAGAGAGATGCTTTTATTTATCACACTCATAAAAGATTGTGAATTCCACTGTAAAAAATGAGCAAAATTGGCCGGGCAAAGTGGCTCACGCCTGTAATCCCAGCACTTTGGGAGGCTGAGGCAGGCAACCCACCTCAGGTCAGGAGTTTGAGACCAACTTGACCAACATGGTGAAACCTCATCTCTAGTAAAAATACAAAATTAGTTGGGCATGGTGCTACATGCCCACAATCCCAGCTCTTGGGAGGCTGAGGCAGGAGAATCACTTTAACCTGGGAGGTGGAGGTTGCGGTGGCAAAGGTTGTGCCATTGCACTCCACTCTGGGCAACAAGAGTGAAACCCCATCTCAAAAAAAAAAAAAAGAAAGGAAAAGAAAATGAGCAAAATTGAGAGACTTTAGAGAAGCCGCATTCACTCAGGTGGGGGCTGTCTGCGGGAAACACACTGAATGTGAGGAATTTGAAGGAGCTAATCCTGTCTTGGACCTTGGTGCTGGCAGGCGTGGTGCCTCGTGCCTGTAATCCCAGCACTTTGGGAGGCCGGGGTGGGCAGATTGCCTGAGCTCAGGAGTTCAAAACCAGCCCAGGCAACCTGGTAGAACCCCATCTCTACTGAAAACACGAAACAAAATTTCTGTGCCAGAATGCACCTGAAATCCCAGCTACTTGGGAGGCTGAGGCACAAGAATTGCTTCAACCTGGAAGGCAGAAGTGGTGGTGAGCTGAGATCACGCCACTGCACTCCAGCCTCAGTGACAGAGTGAGACTCTGTCTCAACAAAAAGAAACTTGGTGGTTCAGAGTTTCTTCAGACACATCAGCACACACATAACGAGGTATTGAGATTGCAGGCTGTTTGGTGAGCACCGACAGGAGTCTTTTCAGAGTTAGAGCAGATGGCACAGGATTCTTGCAGTTGGGCGCATCATTTGACTTGAAAGACATCTACGGGGCAAGAGCTGCATGCATGTTGTGAAAATGGCAAAAATCGTAATCATCGCCGTCATACTTCTGTCTTCAGCTGGGTGAGATCTTTGAATAAGCCTCAGCAGTTCCCTGATGATCACTCATTCTTTACCAGCAGGCAAGAAGCCACAATGGAGGGCAGCTCTGTGACCGGATGCAGTGTGGAGAGGCTGTCAGTGAGCCCTCAGATCTCAGCACACATGTGAGAACTCAAAATACAGAATACAGTTGTGTGTCTAACCATTATGGAAAAGACTTTTTAATTTCACACCAGAAAACCTTGTGCAAAGCTGGAGGGCAGTTTTCTGTGTTGGATCAGTGTGGAAAAGCCTTCAGCCCCACTCCAAATATTGTTTACCAGCAAACATGCACTTGGGACAAATCTTTTGACTACAGCAACTGTGGGAAAGCATACCTTAAGCAGACAAACCTTCAGAGTCACATGAGAACTCACAACAGAGAAGGAGCATGTAAATGGGGGCAGTGTGGGGAGGCTCTCACTCACTCCCCAGGCTGTGCCACACCTGTTCAAATGCATGCTGTAAGGAATCCTCATGTATGTAGGGAATGTGGGAAGGCCTTTAGATACACTGCATACCTTACTAGTCACATGCAGATGCACACTGGCGAGAAGCCCTGTGAATTTAAAGAATGTGGAAAATCCTCCCCTATTTCCTCAAGCCTGACTCAACATGTAAGCATTCATGCTGCAGAGAAGCCCTGTGAATGTAAAGAATGCGGAAGAGCCGTCACTGGATGCTCAGGTCTTTCTCAGCACGTCCAAACACACACTAGAGAGAAGCCCTACGAATGTAAGGACTGTGGGAAAGCCTACAGTAGGTTTTATCTACTGAGTGAACATTTAAAAACTCACATGAGGGAGAAGCCCTTTGCATGTGTGGTTTGCAGAAAATATTTTAGAAATTCCTCATGCCTTACTAATCACCTTCGAATTCACACTGGAATAAAACCCTACACGTGCAGCTACTGTGGGAAGGCCTTCACTGTGCGCTGTGGCCTGACTAGACATGTACGAACGCACACGGGCGAGAAGCCATACATGTGTAAGGACTGTGGGAAAGCCTTCTGTACATCCTCAGGCCTTACTGAGCATGTCAGGACTCACACTGGAGAGAAACCCTATGAATGTAAAGACTGTGGGAAATCCTTCACTGTTTCTTCAAGCCTGACTGAACATGTGAGAATCCATACAGGAGAGAAACCCTATGAATGTAAGCAGTGTGGCAAAGCTTTCACGGGGCGCTCAGGCCTTACGAAACACGAGCGGACACACACCGGGGAGAAGCCCTACGAATGTAAGGACTGTGGGAAAGCCTACAACAGAGTTTATCTACTGAATGAGCATGTGAAAACTCACACAGAGGAGAAGCCCTTTATATGTATGATATGTGGGAAGTCCTTCAGAAATTCCTCATGCCTGAATAAGCACATTCAAATTCACACTGGAATAAAACCTTACGAATGTAGGGACTGTGGGAAAACCTTCACCGTTTCTTCGAGCCTAACTGAACATGTGCGAACTCACACTGGAGAGAAGCCTTATGAGTGTAAAACATGTGGAAAGGCCTTCACCACGTCCTCACACCTTATCGTGCATGTAAGAACCCACACTGGAGAGAAACCCTACATATGTAAGGAGTGTGGAAAAGCCTTCGCTTCCTCCTCACACCTCATTGAACACAGAAGGACTCACACGGGTGAGAAACCCTACATATGTAACGAATGTGGGAAGGCCTTCCGTGCCTCCTCTCACCTGCGTAAACATGGAAGAATTCACATGGGACAGAAACCCTATAAATGTCAGGACTGTGGGAAAGCATATAATCAGTTTTGTCTCCTAAAAGAACATTTAAAAACTTACACTGAAGCGCAGCTTTTTGTATGTAAGGACTGTGGGAAGTCCTTTAAGAATTCCTCATGCCTTAACCATCACACTCAAATTCACACTGATGAGAAACCTTACTAATATAAGGAACGTGGGGAAGCCCTCAGTTACACTCGCTCACGCTGAAGACATGAAAGATGTCTTGCTCCTCGGTGCCCGTGACCAGGTCGTCAGCATCTGATCACAGCCTGGCATGCAGGAAGGCACCCGGGGCCCTAGAGCATCAGGACAGTGGAAGCCCTAGTGTTCTCTCAGGTCTTGCAAAATACAGACGGTATCCAGTGGATAGGACTCTGCTAATGTGTGATAGGTGCGGTGTTGCTTTGAGGTTCTGCACAGTGCTGTGACGATCCTTTGTGATGTCACACTGGAGAAAACCTTAGGAAGGTGAGGATTGTTAGGAGGTCGTTTTCATATGACATCATTCCTCAGCCTTTAGTAAACGCAGGGATTGACACTTGAAGTATTGTGAATGTACAGAAGATACGAATTGCTTCTCTGTGTCCTGAAACATTGTAGGCTAACAGAGACTTGTCTTTCCAGGGGTTCTGTAGATGTATTTTGAACTTTTATGATGCTGCACTGATCCTTCTTGGAGTGATGACTCTGTTCCAGTAGAAATTCTCCAGTCTGGTTATTACACTCTCCGAGTTTCAGCCTGGCCAAGAGTGGATCTTGAGGATTCAGATGTCATCCTGTGTTAGCCGTGTGAGCTCTGGTTGGCTAGTCGTGCTCTTAGCATGACCCCACCCGTCGGGTCCCACACTGGCCAAGGTGGGGCATTACACAGCTCCACGTTTCATGAAAATGCCCTTCTTGTTCTCCCACACCTGATCCCTTCAGATAAAACACCAGGTGCAAGGAGGGGCAGAGTGGAGAGGGGCAAGATCAGAGGCCAGCACCCCACACGTGGGGAGGCTGGAATTCTTGTACCTCAAGCGGTGCAGGAGGGTGAGAGTCTCGAGTGTCCCTGCTGACCTCCAGACCCTCTCCACAGTGCATGGAGCAGTCCTGGAAGCTGCTGCGATCTGGCCCTTCTTGGAGGGACCTGTTTGTGTGTGTGCTGCGCCTTTGCATGCCGTGAAAACAGACCGGGACGCAGCTGGTCCTGGTGTCCATGGCACTTGGCAGCATCACTGGCGCTTCCTGGATGAGGCCTTAAAGTCACACAGCAGCAGAGCAAGGTTTCTGTGTGAGTGACTTGAATGTGTGTCCCCTGGCTGCAGCCACCTTGGGTTATGTATTTTATGGCCATCGGGGCTGCAGCTGCTTGGTGACTGTGTGGTGTGAAATCCCCACAGTATAAAGGTAATCGACAAGGTGAACAATAAATCCTAGATGGAGAGACCTGTGCACCTTTGCGTTAGGTGTTTATCATGGAGAGGGGTGGGTTGTGCAGTGTTTCCCTTGTGGGATTGAGTGTGGCTGTTCAGCCTATCTGTTGCCACCTTTAATTGTTGGCAGGGACGCCAGAAGTCATCAGATGAGTGTGAACCACCTTGTGGGGCTGTGGCGGCTCCTGGTCGGGCCTCAGATGCCATCCTCATTGGCTGAAAACTCACAATTGCCTGAGTCCAGAGCTTGTGAGTCTCAGGTGACCCCGTCCTGGTGCTTGGACTTGTGTGACAGCATCCTGAGCAGGCGGCAGCACAGACACTGCCCTGCCTGACATGCTTCCTGCTGGTGGAGACATCACCTCAGCCCCAGATCTCATTATTAAGACGACTCCTGGCCGGGCGCGGTGGCTCACACCTGTAATCCCAGCACTTTGGGAGGCCGAGGCGGGCGGATCACGAGGTCAAGAGATCGAGACCATCCTGGTCAACAAGGTGAAACCCGTCTCTACTAAAAATACAAAAAATTAGCTGGACATGGTGGTGCGTGCCTGTAATCCCAGCTACTCAGGAGGCTGAGGCAGGAGAATTGCGTGAGCCCAGGAGACGGAGGTTGCAGTGAGCCGAGATCGCGCCATTGCACTCCAGCCTGGGTAACAAGAGCGAAACTCCGTCTTAAAAAAAAAAAAAAGTGGCCGGGCACGGTGGCTCAAGCTTGTAATCCCAGCACTTTGGGAGGCCGAGGCGGGTGGATCACGAGGTCGAGAGATCGAGACCATCCTGGTCAACATGGTGAAACCCCGTCTCTACTATAAATACAAAAAATTAGCTGGGCATGGTGGCACGTGCCTGTAATCCCAGCTACTCAGGAGGCTGAGGCAGGAGAATTGCCTGAACCCAGGAGGCGGAGGTTGCAGTGAGCCGAGATCGCGCCATTGCACTCCAGCCTGGGTAACAAGAGCGAAACTCCGTCTCAAAAAAAAAAAAAAAAAAAAAAAGTACAAAAAAATAGCTGGGCGTGGTGGTGCGTGCCTGTCATCCCAACTGCTCGGGAGGCTAAGGCAGGAGAATTGCTTGAAACCGGAAAATGGAGGTTGCAGTGAGTCGGGATCACACCACTGCACTCCAGCCTGGTGATAGAGCAAGACTCTGTCTCCAAAAAAAAAAAAAAAAATACTCCCCTCCCTTCACAGGAGGTGACTTCACCCACTTCTCCAGAGCCCCTCAGAAGTGATGCCCATGGTCCGGTGCCCTAGGCACTAATTTGACATTTGAGATTCTGTGAGGAGCCTGAGCTTGCTGTCAGCTAGCCTGTGATCCTGCTGTAATCTCGGCCGAGGCCTGCAGCCCCGCACACCAGGCCTGTAGGAGGATCTGGTAGTGTCTGTGGAATCTTGGTAACTGATAACATGTGTTTATTTCCCCAGGACCCACCTCCTGTCAGTCAGGAGCTCACCCTCCGGGGAGACCACTGTCTCCTCTCCCCTGCAGCTTCCAGGGTCACCTCCTTCCTCCCTAGGCTCGGCTTCACACAGAGCCTCTTCTTTTTTTTTTTTTTTTTTTTTTTGAGACGGAGTTTCGCTCTTGTTACCCAGGCTGGAGTGCAATGGCGCGATCTCGGCTCACCGCAACCTCCGCCTCCCGGGTTCAGGCAATTCTCCTGCCTCAGCCTCCTGAGTAGCTGGGCTTACAGGCACGTGCCACCATGCCCAGCTAATTTTCTGTATTTTTAGTAGAGACAGGGTTTCACCATGTTGACCAGGATGGTCTCTATCTCTTGACCTCGTGATCCACCCGCCTCGGCCTCCCAAAGTGCTGGGATTACAGGCTTGAGCCACCGCGCCCGGTCCAGAGCCTCTTCTTCACATGGCCTCACTTTTCACTTCATGCCCTCCCGCAGCAGACCTGCAGACCTGCCATCCTGACCATTGTCGGGCTCACCCCTTCTCACCTTTACCACTGCTCGAGGACATTATCACTGAACTCCCAACATCTCAAAGTGATTGTCTTGAGTCATAGCACACGCTGTGATGTGGGTATGATTGGTCTGTCCTCACCAAATCTCAAGTTGAAATTTCACCCTCAGTGTGGCAGTGCTGTGAGGTGGGCCTGGTGCAGGTTTGGGTCATGGGGGCACCCCTCCTGGATGGCTGGGTGCCATTAGTTCATGCTCTGTCACGACTGGATTGGTTGGTAGGGAATGCGTTAGTTGCCGTGAGTGTGGTTGTGATAAAGCCAAGCTGTCCCTTGGATTTGGCTCACTGCCCTTGACCTCTGCCCTGTTTGACATGGCAAAAAAAAAAGTCCTCATCAGAAGCAGGTTGGGGCCGGGTGCGGTGGCTCAAGCCTGTAATCCCAGCACTTTGGGAGGCTGAGGCGGGTGGATCACGAGGTCGAGAGATTGAGACCATCCTGTTCAACGTGGTGAAACCCCGTCTCTACTAAAATACAAAAAAAAAAAAAAAAAAAAAATTAGCTGGGCATGGTGGCGTGTGCCTGTAATCCTAGCTACTCAGGAGACTGAGGCAGGAGAATTGCCTGAACCCAGGAGGCGGAGGTTGCGGTGAGCTGAGATCGCGCCATTACACTCCAGCCTGGGTAACAAGAGCGCAACTCCGTCTAAAAAAAAAAAAAGAAGCAGGTTGGGTGCCAGTGCCATGCCTCATGCAGCCTGCAACCATAAGCCAAATAAGCCTCTTTATCAGTTACCCAGCCTCAGGTCCATAGCAGCACAAACCAGACTGGCGCCACGCATTGTGGAGAAGTGGGTGAGAGGCAGGACTGCTCGCACAGATACCCACGTTTCTCCTTCTGACTCTCAGAACGTTTTCCATGCCATTAGGGCAACGAATTCCCTCCTGCATGAACTTCACCGGCGACATCTGAGTGTTCCTCGGCGTCAGGTAAAACATTAGAGGACCCATTGTATTGTGTTGTATTTTTTGTCTATTAGGATGCTTTTCATCCTGGGGTCTTGCTGTGGGGGCTAGACCATCCCTCAGGGATGTTAATTCCTGAAGATGGGGACCAGCTTGCTGGAAACGCTCACTTCAGATGCGAATCTACCACTGCTTCCTTTCTCCAGCTGACACCCCAAGCCTGCGTCCCTCCTCCCCGAAGTGCCCGTGGTCTGCTGGAAGTATGCAGGCTAGCCAGCCCCAGACTTCATCCTGCCCTGTCTGCCTTCCCTGGGGAAACCCAGTAAAAGGCTGTGGGCTCTGCCCCCCTGCCTCCTTCTGCCTCCTGCCCAGCTCTGCCACTCCCCTTGGGCCCTGCCTGGAGTAATATGCCCCCTTCCCTTGACACCGTGAATGATAAACTTTCCATATCAGGAACCTGTGTGTATTCACTCACTCACCCTTACACTTTCCCATCTAGGCCCCCAGCCGTGTTTCTCTCCCCACAGGTCTTTCTACCCAAGCACCTGCCCCTTGACAGGGGCTTACCAACCCCAGGAGATTCTGGGACCATGTGTAAGAGCTGCCATGTGGGCTCCTGGGCAGTTTTATTCCTTCTCTCTACTTGCTCATCCTTACGAGGGAGTGACATTGTTTCCAATGTGGCTGTAAAACAGCACCTCCCTGGGGTGTTGGTTTGGATTTTTCTTGATTACTGATAGTATGAACGTGCTTTACGCTGGTTATTTTCCTCTTTGGATGAAATACCTGGTCGTGTTTGTTCCTGATTTGTCTGCTGTTTGTTCTTTTTTAGAAATAGCAAGGCTGCTGTGAGGTGAGTCACCACTCATGGCTTCTCAGTTCCTCGAGGTTTCCACTTGACGTTTTCAGTTTTGTGATGGTGTTTTAAGGAAAAAGATTTCTTCATTTTTTTGACTACTCAAATTCATACAGCTTTTATCTTTATCAGAAACTTTATTTTACTTTAAGGACTTAAATATCCTGTAGTATTTTGACCCTTCCACAAATTTTTTTCTGTTTTGAGACAGAGTCACACTATGTTGCCCAGGCATGACCTCAATTCACTGCAACCTTCATCTCCTGGGTTCAAGCGATTCTCTGTCTCAGTCTCCTGAGTAGCTGGGATTACAGGCGCCCGCCACCACACCCAGCTACTTCTTGTATTTTTAGTAGAGACGGGGTTTCATCATGTTGGCCAGACTGGTCTGAAACTCCTGACCTCAAGTGATCCACCCACCTCAGCCTCCCAAAGTGCTGGGATTACAGGCGTGAGCCACCGCACCCAGCCTTGTTTTCCACAATGTTTGTTTTATCACAGGTTGCTGTGCTTAATCCATCTGGAGTTGAGTTTTAAGAGGTCT